TGGGTGCCACCGGCGGTGGGTGACAGTCGCTGGGGCTGCCGGGGCTGCCCTTCTTAAGGGGCAGGCTGGGTGCATCGGGGCCAGGGATGCCAGCGGGACCAAGAGGGCCAGGATGCAGCCCGTTGGCGAGGCGCTCCCTGCTCTTCTTGGCAGGAACGGGAGGAGGCTGCGTGGGAGGTTTTGCCTGCGTTCTGGCCTCGGGGCCCCTCTGCTCAGCATCCACACCTTCTTTGGTGCCCGGAGGATAATACGTTCCTTCCAGTCCTTTCCTGTGACCCTCAAGAGGCGTCCTTGTTAAACTGTGTTTAACGGCGGGCAGTTGGGCATCATAGTTTTTGGGCAAACACGGAGGGGGTGATGTGCCCCGTGAAAAGGCCGCGATGGGGCCATCCAGTTTCTTAGTAGTCGTTTTCTGAGGCTCAGAAAATCTCTTGCTTTGGGTCAGTAGCAGTGCATTGTCAACAGCAGAATCTCGTTTGGGGCTTTGAACCTTGGTGATGGAAGGGGTTGTCTTTTGTGGCACTTCGGGTACAGTCTGACGGGAGGGTTCTGTCACCTCGCCAGGCACATCTTTTTCGGCATCAGCCTCTCCTTGAAGGTCATCCAGGGAATGGGATCGGGGCCAAGCTTCCACAGTCTGGGGGCCCTCCAGGGTCTCACAGCTCCGGCAGATGGAAACCGGGAGGCTTCTTCGGTTTTTATTCAAATCAGCCACACATGGCGGATCACAGCCCTTGGCGGTGTGAGGGGTAAGACCACCGCCCAGCCTGCTCTCCCCTCCCGGCTTCAGTGCATCCGCTGACTTCAATAAAGGCAAGGTTGGGTAGTTGCCCAGCTGACTCCTGTTGAAAGACTTCAAGCTGGATTCCGCTGATGACTTGGCAGAGAGAAGGCTGGTTTTCCGAGTCTTACCTAACGAGACAAGGAAATATTTCACCATCGCATCTTAAAAAGGGAATCAATCAAATTGACATCAAAGGTGTGCTAACGTGATTGAAATCTCAAACTCCTACAGCCCATCGTTGAATTACACTAAGGACATAAAATCACCACCGGGGGATGGAGAGTTACTGTGGTCCTGTTTATTTTTAGAAAGAATTCTTAGTGGTATTACAGGACTCAGGGAGATGAAAGTTAATTGAGTTATGTGGAAAGAAAATATGCTGTGTCAGGCAGTAAAATAAATCTAGGCCTAATGTCTGTTCTTAGCTGCAGTCAATGTTGAAGAAAGTCACTCATCCACACCCCATTTAGGAATCGCACTGATGGGATTTCTGTAGAGTGAACACAACTTCCTAAAGCCACGGTGGCAAAGGGGAGGTAGACTGAATTCTGGGACAGGCTCTGGGACAAGCTCTTTACATGTGACCACTGCCTTCTCAAACCTTCCTTCAAGCTCTCCCCGCTTTGTGTTTTGTTCAGGTGTGTAAAATAAATGTTTCTCAGAGGCAGTCAGCCAACCTTGGTACAAATGAGTAAACAAGCTCACGTGAGTATTTTGCCAGAGACAACCTGTAAGATACTGATATGGTACTAATTCCCAGTGATGCAACAGACCTGATTAAAATAAGCTGTCAGACTGACAACTGAGCTTATCAACCAGATACCGTCTACTTAGCTGACAGCTGTTGACTAGTATCAACTGCTTCTGCTGCTTGATGAGCTTTACTGAGAATGTGCCATCTAGCGCCAGTGTGCTAAATGCTTCGTTTTCATCAAAAAAAAAAGCTTTTCACACATGCTATAATTGACTGCCCTTTGTTACATTTTTGGTGAATACCACTGTGAAGGAAAAATACTGCAAACCATATCAGTAAACAAAGAATGCTGAAACCACCAAGTTATCAGCGGCTGCCCCCCACCATGAAGACAAGCCTGCAGCCCAGCCTCTGCAGCCACTCACAATGGTGCCCTCTGAGGGGACTCAGAATAAGAAAGGACAGGACACTGGCCCTAGATAGCTAGGTGCTTGTCAAAGGAATGAATTGAATCAATTTAAATGTTTGCTTCCTCCCATACATAGAAAAGCACTAGATTCTTTTAACTTGAGATGCCCGGTTTTCTTTGGATAACAAGTAATCTTTCATTGTTCCAACTACCTGGTCTTTGTTGTAAAGCTCCTATGTATCCTAGCTTCTCCCCTACCTCTTCAGAGCAGTCCCCCAGAGTGATGCGAGAGGCTGTCATCCCGGCTCGAGTCCTCCCGCCAAATAAAACATAACTCTTAACTTTTAGGCTGCGCATTTATTTCAGTTGACACCATGTTTGTTTGGGCTTTGAACTGGGCTGGGGGAATGCCCCAGACATAAAACACATAAGCCAAGTGAGCTCAATACTCTAGGCCTATCAAAAAAGATAAAAATCTTAAACCCACCACACGTTTGGAAGCGGCTGGCTCTAATCTCTGAAAAGCCACTATTGTGTCACTTCAGGTTTTCTTCCTCATCTATTGTTTCAGTAAACATTTCTAATTGAATATTTTAACTTAGAATTTTGACATCTCCCCATGAAGCAATCTCACTCTTTCAATAAATAAGCAGCAGACGGTGCTCTGATTTCCCTGGGAGGGGAAGAGAGGGTGTGGATAGTGCCAGCTCTAAAAAGGAAAGAATACTTTTAGGGAAATGAAAGACAGTCTCTGATAAAAGCTCCACATGTATGCTGCGTAAGAGAAGGGAAAGGAACAAAGAGGCCTGGGGCACTGGGGTATCACAAGTGGTTTGGCCATATCGGCAGAGGGAAAACCAGATTCCAAGATTTCACAGCTTTCTATCAAGCTCATTCTAATTGCAAACTGATAATATTAAATGAGCTGCATCAAGTATAAATCCAGACACTGAGAATGATGGATAAGAACCGTCGCCTCCTCATTCAGACTTCACTCATCATCCCATCCTCTAGTTAAGACACAAGTCAACAAGTGAAGTATTTTGCTTTTGGCAAAGCAGGGTCATGGTCGAAGAGCTTTTGTCTTCCCGTATGTATGATAGTGTAGGTCTCAGACCCCGCCTCCTGTGTGTTAGCAACATGACAGGCTAACATTACCAGGTTATTTTTTCATTGTTACATGGAGATCATTAGCCCAGTGTTACTACTGAATATACTGACCGTGGTCCCATTTTTCAGTAATAGAAAAGTCATCACAGATAAAATGGAAAAGGCAAATCCCTCTTCAGAAAGCATATCACATTGTACCTAAAGTTTAAAAACCAGTTAGAATAGAAAATTCTTAAAACCACTTTAGTACAAACTTTAGAAATGTGGCTTTCCTTCTTTTTAACTCTCAATATAAACTATGTGCATAAACCCCATGCTCACAGTATGTTTATAGTGGAAAGATTCCTGAATTCACCAAGGTGAAAGTTTGCTTTGCCAGCTTCTTTACTCTAGCTCCTCAGCAGGCACACCTGTATTCTTTTTAGCATTAAAAAGTCTCTATGATTCTTAGCCATCAAGAACCATTTGGAGGAGAACTAACTTACCGAAAATGTTTGGATATAGAAAAAGTTTTCACAGAAAAGAAGAACTTTCAGGACCTACATGAGGGCTCTGATGTTTACTGAAGCTGAGGAGTCACTGGGAATCCAGGTGGATTCTGCATCCCACCTTGACCAAGGCTGCCCTAACACCAGGATTTGGGGAGAACCATGATCTTCCCAGACTGATAAAACACTTGGAGTGGCAGGCTCATGGGTCAAAATTTGAGGTCTCCAGAATGCGCAACAGAATTGGGATGAGGGTGAGGTGAGCAAGGCGCCTGGGGGACACACTGGAAGGAGATGATCACTATCAGTCCTGTAAGTGCAGCTGGTACCCGAGAGTGAGCGCCTTTCTGAACTCAGCCCCTAACCACTCACTTGTGCCAGCCCAGCCCTGCCTTTGGTGCCCAAGATGGCTCTCAAACTATGTTTAAAATCATGATCCACAGTAAGGAAACAGATTTTACATTCATCACCCAGTATACACAGACACCATGTGCACAGACAAAAGAGACACAAACACACACACACAAAGATACAGCTGCAACAAAGATCACAAGGAACAACACTAGCGATACCATCGTACCTGTGGAAGAGCACTCGGAGATCTCTGTCCTATTTTATCTTACAAAACTGCTATCCATGACCCTCTAAATTGATTTCACAACCCACTGATGAACTGCAGCTGCTGTTTGAAAAGCCTGGCTCTAGCAGGTACTCAATAAATAGCTGGACACCTGGGCTACCTGATGGGCTTCCAATGGCAGCTGGAAACTATCAGCCCTGGACGTGTTTCACGAGGTCTTCAGGGGTTTCACAGAGACGTAGGGGAATCCTTTACTACTGTTTCTCATCTTAGGAGTTTGGGGATCACAACAGGAAACCACGAGCCTGACCCACTTGCCTCTCCTCTTCTGTTTGAGACAAGGAAGCTACCGGGAACTTCCTAGGGACTGCTACCTGACTGTCAGGACAGGAAGCCGCAGACAAGACCTGCAGCCGGGAATGGCCCTCTCCCTCTGTAATTGCTCCGCTCTCAGGCCGTACAGCTGAGCCACTGAAGATACTGCAGCTTGTGCAGCCCTGATGGATGGTCTACCTGGCAAATTGTTTTCCTTATGGACCTAATAGTTCCCAACACTCAAATGTGGGTTTTTACTGCACAAAGAAAAGGACATCGGAGACACACAATTTAGGTTTTATGGCTGCAGGTATTTTAGACGGAATTTATTCACCTCACACAGCAGTCAGCAGAGGCTAACTAGAAACGAGAATGGTGAAGAGGTCAGAAAGGAAAGATTAGGACCGAGTTCGTAATGGTAATAGAATCGTCTTTTTTTTGTTTTGTTTTCAGAACGTTCTGCTTTTGAAACTAGTACTTTTTAAAGCAAGAGGATCCTTCTTAATGAAGCTTCATTTATAAGACAGGTCAGAGCTAAAGTGTGGAGGTTGGCTCAAGGCCCAGGGCCACCACTGCTCACCCCACCCAAGGCCCCCAGGCCCCTGAGGTGTGCAGGACCCTGCAGACAGCAGACAAAATCCAGGGCTTCAGGCAGCATGAGCTCCCGAACCCAGAAGTTAAAACTGCATAAGAGGCACTGGTCTTTTAAACACAACTTGTGTTCATTTCTCCACTCAATGAAAGTACTTTCCTTATAAAACTAGAACAAAACTGTGCAGCTTCATTTAATATTTGAATGAACAAAAGTCTGGGGAGGTACCATGTCCTTAACTGTTATGTGGACAAAGCAGAAAATATGTGGGGAAAAATTCAAGTCTATTTTGAAAATATCTTGCTTTTAAAGTGCTTTTAGTTTGTTTGAATTGGGGACTTTTGGCAATTTCATATCCTCATTGTATACTTTAACACCGCTTTTCAAAGTGAAATTTATGGTGGGCCCTGTTGTTCCAAAATCTATTTAGTGGATTTCGATGTGCATATAACCATGAAGGATACAAGTAAACCACTGATTCACACTAGGTCCATGAGACTCAATACATCAACTGAAAACACATGTGCTCTAATAACTTCGCAAAACTAGACCATGAGTAGGGCTGGCCCAACAATGTGAAGTTGGGGACCGTAACTCTGAGCCTCCAGTCACACTCTCTGAGAAGGAAGGAAGTACCATATTAGATGTGGGTCATTATATTCTGACTAGCTGAAGTTTTGAGATTTTCTTAAAAAATGAAAGTGTAGTTTTTTGACTTTGAAGTTCTGAGATTTCTTTTAAAACAAACATGTAATATTTTAAGATTTAATCATATGCCTTTTATTCAGAGATCTAGCTTTTGTGTAAATGAAGTGATGTTTGAATGAAGTCAGACTTTTCACATTATTTTAATATGAATTTGGATATCTTCATACTGTAATGATGATATACTGCTGCCAGGATCTCTCTGCTTGTGGAAGGAGTCATTCTGCAACTGGGTTCCCCGTGTGAACAAGCACCCCACTTTCCCCGGGCGGGATCCGAATGCTGATTGCCACCCTGCTCAGGCTTCCTGTCTAGTTAAGAAGAATTGAGGATGACGATGATACTGAAAAACTAAGACTTCATGCCCTGGCTTCGCACCATGGTCTCAGACGGGCTCCACAAAATCCTTATATTGAAATGAGAGACTCTAAGTGACAATCCCAAGCACTGGGACAGTCTTGCTCTTCAGAATAAACCAGCAAACAAATAGGCAGAGACCTTTTATGGTAGGTGTTGCCTCTTCCCTTGTTCCCAAAGTAGGTCCACCCATTTTAATCTAATTCGTCCATGGTTTGTGAAGGTACTTAAGATAACATACACAAACTAAATCCCTCTGGCTTGAAGTTCGCCTAAGCCCAGATACCCTTGGCTGATGTATGATGACATTAAGTCATTAGAATATGGACTTGAAAATGCTTATAGTGTTGGAAAATCAGACCTAAAATATTGTCTACCATTGGCTGAGAGCCGATTATGAGCCAGAGTGGTGCCAGGTGAGAAACATTTCCTAAAGGACAAGAACAAGGGCTTCAGTTATTATTTAATCTTTCTGAGCTTTAGTGTCTTCATCAATCAAATATGCATTGCAGGATCTGAGTGATAATTAGCAATTGTGTATGTAAGCACTCAGCCTTCTGCGCCATTCACAGTCAATGTTTACAGAATGCAAGGTATTATTAATATATTATTACTTTAAGTCTTAGAACAGTCTATACAAGATAAACGCATATTACCACTTCAGAGATGAGGGAGGGTGGGGGCGGTCAGGGACAGAAAACAATTTGACTAAAGCCTTCAGCTATGCCCTATGCAGGTTCAAACCCCAGGTCGCCCCACTCTATACCCCCACGGCTCTTTTCATGATCCAGGTGGGCAGCTAAGCCTCTACAGGTTGCAAGACAATGGAAAGTTTTGTGACCCCTTCTCTGACACACAAGTTAAAACTCTTTCCATTTACGTGCTTCATGGCATGGAAGAGTAACTGACGGAAAGACCTCCCTACTCATTTCTCAGCATCATCAGCTGTCTAGGTTCTTGAGAGATGTTCCTCCCTCCTAATGATCTTAATCAAGCACCAATCACCCTGGAGGAGTTTTAAAAACTCCTCTCCCTGTTGCCAGTTTTCCCAAAGGCAATGGCTCATGCTGAAGAAGAAAGATAGGCATTAGTGTAAGACGTCAAGAAATGGCCCAGGAGGCTTGCATATGAAGATGCATTCACGATTATCTGTGCTGACAGTACCGTTTTCCAGGTTCTCACTGCTTTCATAGCATCCCGAGTCTCGCGGAGAGCATCCGCTCAGGCCCTGGCTGTCAACAAGCAGCTTCTCCTGGGATCCGGACTGGTCGCTGTTACCTAGAGAAGATGAGCACATAGCATGGGGTCATAAGGAGAATGAAAAACAGGTTTCAACTGACCATATCCCAGTGTTATCCTCAGTTCTCACCATATGGTTTGAAGCTTTTGGACTTTGGAAGAGAACAAATCATTTTAAAGTAAATGAGATAAAAGTGAATAGTGAGATCAGAACATTTTTCTTTTCAAACCAAGTATCACAGGAAGATAAGTTTGGAGAGAGCGTACTTAGTTGAAATACATCAGTGCCTTTTGAGTTACCCAGAGGATGACTCTGGCCTCAGGCCAAACAGGGAGAGGAGAAATTCAGAGCATCCTGCCAAAAATGGGGGAAGAGCAACTGCGGTCCTTTCTGAGAGATGGTTCCATCAGCTAGAAGCAGTGAATAAATGCCCTGTGCATAAGGAGGAATGAGGTGGTATGCTTTTTAAGAGATCTAGAAGATTTGTGTTTCAAGTTATTTGTTCCCAGCTTTACAAATTGAGAAGCTAACATAAAAGTCAGGGTCAAATTTTATTAGCATTTAGGAGCATTCATACCCCTCAGTGACATGCGCTGGCGCTCATATTAATTCAAAGGGAGTAAGGCTGATGAAAAGGGGAGACAAACCCCTAAACCAAAGAGGGGCTGGGGGCAAATTCTTTTGTTGTTGTCACTGGGAATAGGCTAGAGGTTTTTTCCTTTTTGCCTTCTCCCTTTGTCTTGAGTCTGCATTTCTATTCCCTGCACACAAAGGGTAAGACATGAAAAGCTCAAAATGCCCTCTAACTTGGAATCTGAGCACCGAACACTCTTAGAGTGGATGACGGAAGGCTGCATGTCCTGATCAGAAGTAACCCTTCTAGAGAGAAGCAGCTGACGTTTCCTGTTGGGTGAAAGTCTGCCTAGAGTAAATCATGTGGCCTTCGTCACCCTGGCTGTTCTGTACAGAGGGCACAGGTGGCCTTACGTGGGTTCAACGTTACAGGAAGTACGTCTCTCAATTGTTATGCAGACTAAATGCTCGGTCAATAAAAATGGAAACCAGGAAAACATTTTCTACATAAAATAAGTAGTTGATGATGAATGGCTTTAATTTACTTTTCGTTCTCTTCACCTCCCCTCCCCCAGTGCACATGCGCGCACGCACGCGCGCACACACACACTAAATCGATAAACCAGAAATCTTTTCTCAGTCCATTAAAAAAAAGAAACTGTGGCAAGGCCGAGGGCTGCTATCCCACACACGAGACAGCTGTTTCTACTGCCCATTTAACACCTCCTGCTTGTGTTTCTCACAAGGAAAGCACTTTATAACAGAAATCATGGCAGAACAAGCCCTTAAGTTAGAACATCAAATTAAGAAGTGCTATTTTTGAAGTGATTAATGAAAAATTAACTAAGTGGGAGGATAAGAGCAAATCCTTTCCCCTTCCCCGCACCAGAAGTGGAACATTCCAGAGTGATGTCCTCATCGTGTGGAAGAGTCTGCGGATTTGGAATGGCCTTTGTTCTAGCCTAGCATGTTATTTAGGAAAATGATACTTATAAAATGAGGGCTTTGAGCTATCAGTTACAACCCAGGAAGAGGAATCAATGCAGTTTGTCCTTGGCGAGATCGTTCAGGGGATGGCAGCGGCCAAAACAGACCCCAAAGTGCTGACCGATGGTAATGAAATAGAAAAGCTGTCCTTGCCATTGCAGGAAAATGCAGACTGCGCCTGCATCTTTGGGGATGCCAGCCTCACCACAGAGCAGGACACCTGAGATTATTATGGGGAGTTAAGGGTCCCTCTGCATCGTGTGAAACCACAGTTCAGTTTATAAAGTCATGAGACAGATGCCAATGGGCTAAAGCCACTTTCTTCCTGAAGGATCCAATCAGCAGCTACTAGGCAGGAACCCAACTATCAAATTTAACAAAATTCTCTAAAACCAAAATCCAGTGTTTCCCAAATAAGTTATCCTTCTTCACAAGGGAGAATGAAGCAAGATCTCTCAGCTCTCAGGAGATCCCTGGATCTGTCTAGTTTGACAGAAACTGATTGTGTTCCTCTAAGTCATCAGTTACTTCTTAAACACAATGAATCTAATAGCATTGAATGTAGAGTCTTCTGGCCTTAGCAAAAGCCTGGATCCAGGCTCTTGGTACTAACTGGCACCCCTGAGCCCTTGAAGCCTTTATTTTAGAACCACTGGGGAAAAAAAAGTACCACTTTATGTATCATGGATGTTCTAAACAGTGGAACAGCATAGATTCAAAATGGGATTTATGAAGAAGCAAAGAGCCTTCTTTCGACTTCTGAGTGAGCACCAGGATGGGCAAAGATTCCCTCCTGCAGATATCCCCTGGTGCAAATCTCAGGACACGATCCCAGGAGGGGCGAGGAGTCTGAGCCACTGCAGCACCACAGAGACAGATCCTAACACTCAGAGTTGAGCTTTGCTCCTCCTGGATTTGAATGCTAAAGGAAACGTATTAGATAGGGTTTATAAACCAGCTGTTCTCAGTGGCTGAGGAAGAGCAAATGAGCTATCTTACAGAGCAGATGTGGTCAAGAGACTAGATGATTTGTTGTTAATTGATACGAACATAGCTGGTCAGCTACACCAGGCACCGGGCCAGGCTCTGACACAACCTGGCCACAGACCCCCAAGGTGTCTCCGGGGGAACTCCAACACTAAAGAGACCTGGTTATAAAATGATGCTAACTACGAAACACAATTCCTTCCAAATCTATCCCTGAAGGCCGTGTGTTTATCTAGGGGTCAGAGAACTGTTTGATGGTGTGTTATCAGTTAATTTAGAGGGAGGACCCATTAAGCAGAAGTGAATTTAACTACACTGAGACAATTGCTTCCATGTCTCTTGGGCTTGATACATTCCGTAATGTATAATTTTTTTCCCACCATTAACCATGGTTTTGGTGTGTCTTTCAGCAATAGAAAGGCTGTTAGCCACTGATATCCCTGAAGCAGAGCATTTGAAAGAAAACGCATTTGAATTCAGTAACTGGAAAGGATACTCCCCCTTATGATGAATAATTCCAGGAATATTTCTGATGTCAGACTGAAGAATAAAGAGCAAGATAAGACTGGGTTAATGGAGCAAAGGACACAGTATATTCAAATAGACTACATAAAAGCTGTGAGCTCACTGAATTCTGCTCATGGGCTGTATAAATGAGCTATCATTTGGCTGAGAATTCGCAATCTGAAATTCTCTGCTCCACATATTCACTTGGAATATTTCTTGCTTCTTTAATGCAAGCTGATGAAGTTCATTTATTCATTAACTAACCTATTCAATCAGAAAACAACTCCTCCTGTGCTTTGAGAAGTAATTAACCCTCGGCAGGGCAAGAAACTCCCAGTTTGTCAGTCCCTTTTGTGCCCAGGTATCCTAATGACCTCCTGAAGGCTGCATTTCCTACCACTCCCTAAGGGGGCATGAACTGTGCTTCTTAAGAAAACTGCAGTTTAATGTTCAGTCACTGGAGAAGCATTTTCCTCCAGCATTACCTAGAAACACACGAGGAGAGGTATCAGGCAGAAAGGTTTTCTTTTTCTTTTTTTCACGCTCCTACAAGACAGCAAGGTCTGCCCTGGGAATTTACGTCTTTGTGCAACTTGAAATAATACAAAATTGACCTTGGCTTTGGAAAGAGCAGGATCCAGCGAGTGACTCCAGGGACCTAAGCATATGCTAGTTGCTTATGGGACACCTGCTGGTGACCTGAGCACGTGGCTGCTCCAACAGTGAACACCCCTGTGCTGGGAGGGACTTACTGTCATATTCCTGTAACAGCTCCACTGCTGTCAAGAGAACAGCTCTGTGTTCTGGGTCCCTGATATTTAACTCGTCCAAGTCTTCCTCCTCCAGGAGCTTAAAGGTGTCCAGATCTTCATAGCCATTGAACAGGAAAGTGGGCATGTGCTCCTGTGAGGAGGGACAGAGGACAGAAGTCAGTCAGCAGGCCCAGCCATGTGATCCATGACCCAAAAAACCAGCCTCAAACCCCTAAACTCTTTTTCCATAGCCATTCTGATGCTAATAGAAAAGTTATTAAGGATCCTTTGTAACACGTTCTGTGCCTCCCTGGTCCTACAGCTTAGCAGGCAGACAGGGCCCTGAACTAATCACGGATTAAGAAGATGTACTTTGCAGGCTGAGATGGACTCCACTGGCTTGCGTGTCAATTGTGCCCTTGCTACGAACTGACGCCTGAAACAGCACCCAGGGCTCAGTGGAGGAGACTCTTCTTTCATTTAGAGCTACTGGAATCCAGCTCAGATAGACCTGTGACTTCCTTGGGAGCAAGGCAGTTTTGAAAGAAAACAGAATCCACCATGTAGACCCACCATAACAGGTGCTGGGAGTAATGGTGGGAGAGAGGAGGGAAGGGAGACCCCTCATGGCCTCTGTGAAGCCAACCAGGGAGCCAGGAGTTTGTTCTTACAGCCTTTCCAGGTAGTAGCTCAAAGCTCACCACTCTGTGGAGGCTGCTGTTTGGACTAGGCGCAAATTCTGACCCGGGGTTTATGCCGTTGCCGCCAGCGGAGGTCAAGGGCAGCATTACAGTGCCGGCAACGCCTTCTGTAGGGTCATGCGGACACATCAGAGCCACAGGCCGCCCCTGCTGGATGACGCAGGTCACCCCTATCCTTCCCTGAAAGTGCCCCTGCTCGCTCAGTTTGGAAGGAGGAGGTAGTGTGGGGTCACGTGGGCCACAAGAGGACGGAACTGACTTTGAGGTTGATGCGATCGAGGAGATCCTCCACCGACTTGGGCTGGGGGGGTCTTCCTTTCCTCCTCCTCCTGGTGGGGCGCTTGGGCTTCTCCTCTTCCTCGCTGAGCACGTCCACGTAGATGAACTTGAACGTGCCCACCTTGTTGTTCAACAGGCCCATCCAGGTGCCCATGGGGGGTTTGCTGATTATATCGATGACGTCTCCTTTCTGAGGCCCAGGAAACAAACATCTTTCCATTAGGTACATTTCCACGCGTGAGCCATCAGTCAGTCAGAAGTGTTAATCGTGTGGATGTGAAGACACTATGAGGGCCAGAATCAGGGTTCCACGAGTCACCTTATACGACTGGGAGCCTGGCAGAGGGCCAGACAGGACATGCCTGACCTTACTGGATTCCTCTTGCACCACAGGACAGTGTGTCTGAGGTCCTTCCCAGTGCTCGCGGCTAGGTGGGCACCTGGCTCTCTGAATGCCCTTGCCCTCGCCCAGAGAGCTCCTACTTCTTAGAGAAAGACTGTCCCACCAATCAGGTATCAGTGGCAATCCCTGTCCTATACTCACTTCACACATTCTGTGGAACTCCATTTGTCTCGTACGAATGCCACTGATCACAGAGAAGCCAGTCATGTTCTGTCAGTAGGGAGAGCACGGAGACTAAAGGCGGGGAGGGCAAAGGGATCGTGGAGGGAAGCGGAGATCAGAGGACAGGGCCAGGGGATGAAGTGGTGACAACAGAGGATTAACAGGAGACCCACCTCTACCCCCAAATGCTGGCCGATTCTCTGCTTTGTTTTTCACTCTTAGAAGAGCCCGGTTTATCAAGGTAGCAGAGACCCTGGCCAGTTTGCACCAGAACAGCCTAACATTCAACAGCAGAGAGAAAAGAACACCTCTTATGGGAACAAAGAGCCAGGTGTCACGGCACGGAGGCCAGGCAGACACACACCTTGAGCTTGAGCGAGTCTGTGTCATAGGGGCTGGGTGTGAAGTCGGTGTGCACCCTGGCGCGCCCACAGAAGGGGCCCCGGTAGGGGGGCTCCTCGTCATCACCGTCTTCTGACTTGACGCTCTCCCTGTTACTGGTGGAGGAATCTGTGGTGCTCACTGTTTGACCACCTGTACAGGGAAAACAGGAAGAACACGGGTAACTACAGACTCCCGCACAGCAAAGCGGAAGGGCACAGGAGGCAGCAGAGATTAGGAAAGCAAGGGCCAGAGGAGGGAAGTCACGAGCCACAACCAGACATCAGGACCAGAGCAGAGTCCGGGGGAAGCTCCCAGCTCTCTGACTGTTCTCCCCAGTCAAGCCCCTCATTGGACAGGGGACTCCAGCAAGTTATCTTTATGACCGCGGAATCCGGGAGACCTCCTGGAGGAGGACGTCGCCAGCCCCTAACGTGCGAAACCTCCCATTTGTCAGGCAGACTATCTTTTCCCCATTTTACACATGAGGAAACCCAGAGAGGCCAAGTAATTTGCCCAAGGCCAAGTACTTTGAAAGCTGTGGGTTTAAACTTGGTCTCTTTCCCTACGGCGTTCGGCCGATACCACCGTTGGACGGGGAGCGGTTGAACAGCCTTCGATCCCATGACATCAGTAATTCTCTTGTTTTGTTGGCCACCTTCGTGAGCCTTTCCCCTCGACCCATTCCTCTCCATTCTCCAGTTCTTCCTCTGACGTGCTTTCCCTCTTTTCTCCGACCAAAATTCATCACCCACTCTTTGGTGCCACTGTTGTGCATCTGCTACCGAACAAACAGGACTCTGGGGTCAGGCCTGTCTCTGTAACAGCTCCCTAAGGGTCGGAACTTGGTCTTATTTATCTTTAAATTGCCTGAACCTGACATTTGGTAGAAGTCAGGTTTTGACTCGGAGGAAATCATCTGTGGTTACCAACGAGACGTACTCATCGAGCTCTGCCCGCTCAGCGAGCTCCGCAGACTCTCTACAGAACCTCCGGCTTTGAGCTTGGGCTTGTCCACGTGCTCGCTGTCAGGTTGAGAGGACGGAGGGGAGCCAGGCATCCCATCAAGGCCCGAATCCTGCAATGGGTTTCGACAAAACTATGTTATCAGAGTGGGCAGGTGTCCTTGTGAAATTCACAGCAATTCAGCCCTCAATGACATCAATCAAATCCATCTGTATACCCCGTCTTTACCCACTATACTCCTTCTTCATCTGTATCCTTGCTTCATCTTAAAGTTGTGGCTCGTGTAACTATTTAAACACTCAAAAATTATTTTCCATGCTCAAATAGATATTCTTGAAAAACTATCTACCTTGTAGACAAAACATGGCGTTTAACGCTTAAAGACCATCAGCCTGCTCCCCAGTCCAGTAATAAAGCTGGACTTCAAATGTAGATCAAATACAATCCACTAGTAATGTACTATCTGGATGTTTTACCAGAAAGTATTCAATCTATTTGAAGGGAAATATTTATACTTTAAAATAAATGTATTCCTTGTTTAAAAAAAAAAAGCCAAATTCTTATATGTCTACTTAAGACAGATTATTGAAATTAGCTAATAAAATACCAACTTAGGATCCAGATACACAGGTGGCCCTTGAACAACATGGGGGCTAGGGGTGCCGACCCTCTTTGCAGTCAAAAATCCGAGTGTAACTTTTAGTTGGAGCCCCTGATCTGTGGTTCCTCATCTGGGGACTCAAACAACCACGGATTGTGTGCACTATGGTATTATCCATCTATAACTGGACCAGTGCAATTCAAACCTGTGCTGTTCAAGGGTCAACTGTACAGCAAGCATACCTCTTTCCTGTCTATAATACAATTTCCATAAGCCACCCTGTGATTTTAGCTTCTTTCACTTCTTTTGTGTATCGTTAGGGAAAAGCTTTCAGATCAGAATACTGACATCAGTGACCCAGCACGACTTCTCATTTTGGGGGTAACTACCATATCCTTAGCTGGGCAGCCCCTCATTTACACATGTGACTACAGCACAGTTGTTTGATTCGTGGCACTATACAGACGGACAATACCACACTTTCAAAAGCCTGCAGTCAGAATGGTTGACTTGCCCAGAGTGAAACCCCTCTGGCATATTACACCACCACAGGAGCACAAAACTGTCTAAAGGAAACCTGTTATTTGCATAGTGCCGAATCATCAGAAGGGCTGTGACGAGGTTCTGCGGGGCCCTGCAGACTTTTAAGGACAATAGTAAGGGCAGCTTCTGATTCAAAACACATTTCTGCTTTACATTTAAGGAAAGCAAGCAAACAACCTCAACGACTGCAAACAGAGTGCATTACCAGGAAGTTGCTGAAGCGGCAAAGGATGAATTCCTGAGCAGGTTTTCACGCCTACTTTTGAATCATAAAATAAGCCACCTTTCCAATTAAAGTCTTTTTCAAATGCCTTTGAAAGACAGCAATATGAAACATACATCTCTGATGCTATATGTTCACAAATACTTTAAAAAATTATTAATTTATTCATCACATACTTATTGACTGTCTATGAGAACAGATACTATTCCAGACGCTGGGCATATAGTAGGGACAGAGCAGAGAAAAATCCTTATCAGAATAGTTGGTATATTTACTAAAAAGTTAGGGGGGAAAAAAAAGAAAGCCTTACAACATTAATTTCCTCTCTCTAAAAAGCATTAGAATGACTTAATTTTTTTTTCTTCTGTGAAATGTCTGCTTTAAAAAAAAAAAGAACTAAAAATATAAGACATCTAAATAGTGGTAAAATTATAGAAAAATGCTCAAAATTACATTGGAGTTCTACGCTCATGATCCATAAAGCAGAAAAACCCTAGGAATGTAAGTTTACAAAAGCTTTTAGTGGATGTTTGAGTTTGGGGGAAAAGCCAGCTAAATAAAGTGCTATAAATTTGTGGCACTGCTTTCGCTGGCATGTCTACTTCATAGGAGAGCACAGTTTGCTTCATTGCTGGGCAGATATATAGAATCACCATTGCTCCCACACCCAAAGGGACAACAGTCATGGAGAAGAGATACTGGAGGCTGCCCAGACTTCCCTGTGGGTCTAACAAGCCACTATTTCTCAGCCTGAACACTGTCGGCATTTTGCATGGCTAATTCTTTGCTGTGGGGGGCTGTCCTGTGCTTTATAAGATGCATCCCTGACCTCTATCCACTAGGTGCCAGTAGCACCCAACACCACCCCAACCTTGCTGCAACTATCAAAAATGCCCCCAGCCAATGCCCTGCGGTTGGTGGGAAAGCAAAACCACCCCCTACCACAGCCTGCAAGAACCACTGTAACAAACTGAAAATGTGCAGGCTTTGTTTGAATCACAGTGCGGGAGGCTGGCTTGCTGGTGTTCAGAGATTCAAACACGGGGATACTTGGTTCTTAACTATGTCCACCAGAGGGCAGCAGCTGAGCAAAAATGTCTGCTTTCCCTGCTATTTTACTTGTCAGATAACAGCATTACCTACATATTTCAAGTAACCAGTTCACACACAGGGACTTCAACAAACTACAGAATGAATACTATAAAGGTGCCAGAGGAGAGTGTTTTGAAAATCTAATCAAAATTACCTCAAGGCCCAGCTTTCCAAATGTCTTTATTTCCTCCACCCATACAAACTGGTCATGTTCCTAGAGACGAAATTATAAAAGCGGGGAAGCAGGGCGGGGGCGTCAGTTCTGTGGTATCTCAACAGCTGCAGATGGGGCTAGTCGGTGAAAACACCCCCGCAGAAACATGGTGATTATGTAAGTCCTGTAGCCAGGAAGCACTTTCTGAGTTTGCTCTGTGCTTCTAGAACAACTTATGCTACATTTATTTAAAAAGTCTGCTGTCTAAGAAAACTTGAGTGTCTTTTTTAGGTTTGATTCTGGTGACATCCACTTTGGAACAAGGGATATTTTAGAAAATAAAAAACCATTCCTCTGTGGTCTCATTTTCAGTGCTTAAGGCACTAAAGAACAATCATTTATTGACATGTCGGTCTTTCCTCTCATCAGTAGGTAGATAGCAGGCCCTTGCTTTGTATTCCCAGCACTGAGCATGGTGCTCGGATGACCCTAAGTGCTTAAGAAACATTTGCTGAATCCAGTGTTTGTCTGCATAAACTAAGCACGGTCTGGGGATTGGCTAACACCAATGAATGTATTTCGCAGCTTTTTAAAATCTCAGACTGACCACCCTCAGCTTTCCTTGTTGTCAGGGAGAACCAACGGGGCTTTCTGCTTAGCTGTCACGTACCTGCTCAGAGACAGAGCTGCTGTATTTTTTAGACATTCTCTTCCTCATTGTCTCTTTCACTGATTTCACCTTTTTTCCAAGAGAGATGCGGGAGGCAGTGGGTGATTTGATTACTTCTTTGTACACAAAATCCCCCTCTTTACCCTGTAAAACAAAATGTTGTAAGTATCTTTAATCACAGAAAATGCAGCCCCCAAACAGGTTTTATTATTCAAACCATGAATGTTCTGCGTCTCAGAAAAACGTTGGCCCGCCTCAGGATCTTCACATTTTTCTATGTTAACTCAGTGCTGTGTTATTTATCTTTTCGATTAAAAATTAAAAGCTACTGACTAAAGGGCTTTTGTTTATTTAAAGTGGGATGTAAGTCATTTTATTTTATTTAATCTTAGGATATCCTTCTCCTATTATATCTTTTCCCACCATTTAAAATATCTAAGGGGACTGTATTTCATCAGTAAAAAGTGATGCAGACGAGCCACTGTTCACTGAATCCCAGCAGCAGGGAAGAAGAGCAGGGTAATACTACTGAATCACCCTAGGGAAGTGGTAAGAACCAAACGGCAAATGTCAATCATTAGACGTCCAGCATCTGATCAGATTTATAATACTGCAGCACTTCGTGTGGTCAGCTCCCGAAAGCATGTAAATTTCCTTTTCTGAACAAGTTGGACTGTGGTCACTTCTCAATCTATTTTGCATTGAAAAAAAATTTCCTCTGAGGAGGGGGAAAAAAAACTTTCAGTTTTTAAAAGACTGACCACATAAAATCACTGGTTTGCGAATCAATAAAATTTGATATCCAAATAAAACAGTTTTATTATTCCAGGAGATTCTCACACTTCAAACAGATGGGTGCTTTAGCTGACGCATGATCATTTGTATAAACAAATATAAAGCTCAGAATTCTAATTTCACAGTCTCATGACAAAATGCACAAAGGGAAAACAAGACTATATGGAAAACTCACCTATATCCTTAGGACCCCAGAGAGTAAACGGTAGGAAGCAGAAACTGTACACCACACCGGGGCCCATCCCCAGGCTGCGATCTGGAGGCAGGTCTGAGGAGGCAGTAACCTTGGCCCTCAAGCAGTCTGGTTTGCTTTGGCCCCAAGGGAACTGGGTTCATTTCAGGAGACCCCAGATCAGAAAGACCTAGGCGGAGTCCAAGGCTACGCACTTGGCCCATGATAAGGCTGGTTTTCAGAAATGCTGGCACATAGTCTTGGAACCCGAATCACAGGGCTCCATCTGTGGCACTACCTGTGCGTGACCAATGGTCATGTGCACTTGCAACTGATGTGAACAAAAAGCCCGTGTGCACAAATGCCTAAGACCATGGAAACCAAACTCATCTGGATTTGTGACCTGAAGAAACCTGGAAGCCAAGGCATTAAAGAACTGGTGCTCCCACAGGGAAAGAGATGGAGGCCACAGGTGGTCACCATTCACTCCACGTGGAACAGAGAAGAGTCCTTAAGATGGTGGCTGAAATAGGACTTCTCTCCAAAGGTGATTTCGGATCCCCAAGGAAAAGGTATCAGTCCTCAAAGATACCAAATGTGAAACTATGGCAACACATCACTTGAACCCAAACCTCTGGCTTTCCGTCTGCTGCATACTCACCATTGGGTCAGAATTATGACTGCCTATGTGCAGAGAACGATTTGTCAAGTCAAATCCTCCAAAACTGCAGGTTCTCTGTGGAAAGGGGAGGGCAGAGCAGGAATAATCCAGTTACGCCTCAGGCGGCCAGAAGTGCACCAACCCAACACAGTTCCCGTTTGCAGAACGTCACTGAATCACAATGTGTTACGGGATGAAAGTAAGAAACGAGAAATGATGAAGAAAAAAATACATGATTCATGTTCTAAGGAGACGTCACTCATGTTGCCCTTCCACGGGCCAGTGGAACCGTTGCCTCCACCAGAGGTTCAGAATCCCCTTAATACGCGAGAACCAACTGATTAAAATAAAAATAAAAACAAAACCCCAAACTTACACATGTGTTAAATGCTCTAAGATTCCCTGTCTCTTAGCAACAGAACTTCCCTTCCAGCCCCCTTACTATTGGCTGCATCCAGTAGTGAGAATGAGGAAACATGTATTATGTGCTCAGAGTGGTCTTTGAAACCCAGATCTGAAGTCCTACATAGCCCTGCCACCGACAGCAGGCTTTCCCAACAGACTCTTCTTTTGTTTAGTTTTAAACCGCTGAGATGGAGGGAGAAAGGTTATGTTTACAGTAGAGTCCAATCAAGCCAAGAGGATTACTCACTCATTGCTTCCCTGACCTAGCCAAAAATGCTGATAACTTTCCTATCTAACTGTCCAACTTACGACCCTTTTCCTCAGAGTGTATGAAGTCAAGAGACCACATTTGCCTAAAAAGAAAAAGGGTGATTCTGTGACTGTTTCTGACCACACTTCCTCAATTTCAGTGGGAGGAATACTGACGGTATAAAGAATGAAAACTTTATTATCCTTTCAGTTGGTTTCAAATTTTATGGAACTGCTGGTTCCTGTGCTTTTATGTTTCCAGAACTTGGTTTGAATTCTCTGCTGTTTTTCTAGCAAAAGCTACTCAAGGACCACTTCCCCCCACAAACCTCCCAAATCTTTAAGAAAATGGAGGCACTCAAGACACACTGATTTTTGCTGCAACTGATTTTTTTTAAGCAATTGGTAATAAAATTTGAATAACAGATTTGGGTTCCAATATTCTGTATTACTTGTTTCTCACAACCCTCTAGCTAACAGCTATTAAATGGAGGACATGAACAGAAAAAGCACAATGTATACTACAGACATCGCTTATGTGAAATCACACCTCAGATACGTGTATTAACAGAACTGAGCAAGTGGAAACATCCTTAAATGCTTAGGTTTTTGGAATCACACAGATAGAAATCCAATTCCTGGTTCTGCCACTTAACTTGCTGTGTGACTACAGGTAAGGTATGTAAACTCTCTTGAGCTTTCCTTTCTTCATTAGTGAAATACTCTCTATCCTGTATCTGAGACTCGTAGTACCAAGGCCCCACAGAAAGCAGATACGCTGAGGATGTTAGTTTCTTCCATGACTTTTCGTGAACATGACACTGAGAAGTTGGTAGCTTGCCCTGACAACGGTTATACTGAAGTTTAGGCTTAGTCAATTTTCTAAAGACACAAACGAAGAACTGGAGCTTAGTTCTGGGCCTTACATTTTGGAAGCTTCCACTGTCAAACCAGGGCAATCCCAGGAACGGGCCAAAAAAGAGAGAGATGGCAGGTGTGGCAGAGGGAAAGGCCAGGCAGGAGATGCAGAAGCGTGAAGGGAGGCAGGTCGGGATGCCCAGCATTCAGGACATCACACAGCTGTTATTCCCCCGCATCAAAGCTGTGGCTGCTGTTTTGAATAACCGACTGTGGACACAGTTTCCGATGCATGTTATTCTAATTTTACATGAAACATCAGTGGACAATCTGATTTCTCTTACAGTCAATGTAACTGGACCTAACAAAGAGAAAGACCTCTGTATACAAAAGCACTCACCAAATCCCCTAATCTGCAAGCAACGTTACAACTATCTCTCAAGTCTAATTTTTAACTTTAACTTTCCCTTTCCAGCTTAAAATGTCAAATAAATTTTCTCATTTTTTGCAAAGGCAGTCATTTTATTCAAGTTTCTTTCCTGTGACTCAGGGCTCTGCAGACACAGTATGGCGTCCAGATGCCTCATCATTTTATGACTTTCATTCTTCCCCGCTTTGAATTCCAGCCTCCACTGCAGCTCTGGAGCCCAGAATGTTATTTCTGATGCATATGAAATAACTGACAAAGAATTTATGTGGAAACTATAACTGCAATAAATTAGAAGCTCATTTATGTCTTCCTATGCATGCGTGCCTGCATTTCTTCCTAAAATAAAAAGTTTAGTGTAAAGGGTGGACTGGTTTTCTTAACTACCAACTCAAACCTCCCCCAGTGATAGGCTAAGATATTTGGAACAGATTCCTCTTTATTCATGGAGGATGAGCAAAATTTAACAGCAAGCACTACTTGAACGAATCTCTTAACTTTTTCTGTATTGTCAGGGAGTTCTCGAAGCAGCACTACTTCGACAGAGATAACAGAATGTAGACAGACTAGTACAAGAAAGTAAACCAATCTTTGACTTTGGTGGTCTACCATAAATGAAGCCTAGATGAGGTTCTTCCAAGTTCAAACATCTCCTGTACAGATAATGAAAAGAACACTTCAGATAGATGCTTGTGGGTGAGGAGAGCCAGTCGATGGAATGGTCATGCAGCTGAAAACATGTTTTGGGGGGGGTTGGATTTTTTTAAATGGACAAAATTCCAAAACGTCATGCATGTCTGTTCCCCCACACAAAAACTGAATGACCAAATAAAAAAGCAAGACAAGTGACCGTTTCCAGTGAGTACAAAGCATTGTCATTTCCCTGAGGTTTCGTCAAGCAAATATGGCATTTTTTGAAAGACAAAAAGATCAAGGTTGAAGAATAAAGGAAACTATACTTTTCAATAAAATGAAAGATATGTGACAAGAAGAATGGAAAAAAACTTTTTAACCAAACCAAATTCTCCCAATCCCTTATAAACAAAACAAACAAAAAACCTCCTGTTGTTCACTTATTTCCCCCATGTTCTCCGAATAATTAGAAAATTATATTTTGTTTTCCTGATTGTGTAATTATACTTACAAGCAATGGTATGTGCAAATTTCTTATTTAGCACTGAACACATAATTCAGCAGGTATTAAAACCGCCCAGTACTGCCTCAAGCTCACAGGACTTTAAATAAAAATATCCCGCCTCAGGCCCGTACTTGGCACAGAGGTTACAGAGTGCCACTTTTACGGGGGAAGAAATTGGTATGTGAAAACATGCTTGTCCAGATGTCCATACTCAATGTCAATGAAGAATTAATCACGGGCCGAAGTGTGCACACAATGGCCCGCAAATGGTCCAAATCTTAGAAATACAACTTCTAGAGAAAAGGTCCTGATGAAGTTATATCATTAACCTGGCAATAAATATTACGAGGGGGCACATAAGCAACTCAAGGCGCGCAACTGGAAAAATTCTCAGTGTTACGTGGCTGCAACTCATGGGGATGAGTCATCGGTTCACAGAGAAGAGGTGGATCTGACCCATTAAGGTCACGTCAAAAGGTACGGAGGTAGACGAACCCAGATGAACAAGTGATAACCAAGATTGGGTCGCCACAGTATTTTACAAAAGATCTGTGGGTCAGAACGAATGAGTGATAAAAAGAACTGTTATGCAACCAAAACAAAACCAACTGAAACTGTTGCCATGATGGAGAAAGAGCCAGAGGAAACGCTGTTACTGATAATACTAAAAGTGTTGCAAGATTTATAAGAATGTGAAAAAAAAGGAAAGCAATATCTATCTAGCAAGAAAGGCAACACATGTGGGAATATTTGGAAACCTAAGGGCTGGTAGGGACCTAAGCATACTTTCGGAACAGAGACAGTCGTATTACAGAAGGCATTGGCCAATCAGCCTCCATTCCCACAAAAGCAGAACTTGACCATGAATTTAAATTACATCTGGGGAAGAACGTGAAGAAATTCTGGGAGTTCCTTCCACCACAGGAAGCGGCAGTGCAGTCTATTCCTTCACACCTTCACAAGGGGACGGGCCAGCAGCCCCCAGTGGATTAAGCGGGGTGGGTGCCAAGGGCCAGCAGGGCGGGCAAGCCCACAGTTCCTCCTTGCCCTGCACCATTTTATATGGGCTCTTGTGCAAACTAAAAGTTGGGTAGGACTTTCAGGAGAAAATACCTATATTCTTGTTTAATGTAAGTCTTACCTGAAAAACAAATTTTACTAGGTCTCTAATAACTCAGTAATAAAGCTGAAAACCGTTTTCTTATCTGAAAGTAAGTACTTTACTCCTTGCTATGTTCAAATCTATGGAGCAGTGGAAGATATTTCTAAATATTGAGGCTTTTGTTTAAAAAGATAAGCACATCAAATATTCTTAAGTGAAACAAATGAGCTCTTTTTTTTCCCTTTTAGATTTAAGAACTCTCTGTTGGTCCCTAGTAATAAAAGAAATATACTTTACAACGTTTTTCAAATCACCAAATTGGTGCTGATGCTGACGGCACTCTGCCGCGAGCTGCTTCCTACTGTTCTAATTAACTCGGAGAAGAAGCATCTCTTTCGAGGGCAGAATGTCCTTGTGTTTTGAGTCAGCTTCTCTGAGGTCAAGTGACCTGGTGGCTGGGAATCAAGACTGCCCCTTCTAGAAGGAGGCCAGACCCCACTTCTGTAATCTGGGAGCCCTTCTCTGGGTCAGCTTCAATGTTCAGTTCTAATTAAAAATCGAACAGCTGCAACCGGCAAGAGGGCAAATGGGAAAGGAGGAGAAGACATTCCTAACGGAAAGGGAGATGAGGAATTTGAGGTGCTGATGGAATGGACCACAAGAAGGGGCGAGGAGGGATCCACGCAAGAAAGGCCACAATGCTTGACTGCACATCACAGAAATGACAAGGCCATCCCCGTGACCATCTTGGTGACTCACGGACTTCTGGTGGATTCTCAAGAGAACCCTTTTAGTACAGCGGTCCACCGTGGCGGCCCACTTCCTCTTGGCCTCCTCCTCCTCCTCCAGCAAGCACCGCCTCAGGTCCTGCTTCTCAGCCTTGCTCAGCGTCCTGTCTGAGGCGGGGCGCACTAGCTGGGTCAGGTTCAGGTGGCTGTACAGGCTGCGCTCCACCACGTACGTGACATTGAACTCGCTGACGGAGGGGCGCCCGCGCCCCCTCCGGCCGGGCGCGCCGCAGCCCCCGCCCCCCTTGGGTTTCTGCCGGAGCAGCGGCAGGTCGCAGGTGCTGCTGTTAATGCCTTTTCTGGAGGGACGCTGGCAGAGAAAAGCTCTGGAACATGAATAATTAGTATCCGTTTTCTTCAAGCGGATCTGCTTCCGGACGCTCTGAACCTCCTCCAGGGACACCAGAAGGTGGTGCCGACGACGGTGGCTGTCATAGAAGCAAACCCCATCGGTACTTACCCCGTGGCTCAGGGACCCGAGACCCTTCTTCATCTCCCCCTCGGTGAGGGAGCGGGACACCTTCTGGGCCTTGTCTTCTTCTGGGTAGGAGAAGAACGTCCCCATCTTCCTGTGGGGCTTGATCAGGCCCCGGCTCTCTCCTTTGCTGAAGGTTTTGACCAACTTCCGGCCAGCCCCCCAGGTGTCCAGGCTGCTGGATGATGGAGAAGTGGTGAGAGAGTCTGAATCATCTTCTGGAGGTTTCTCAGGAGAGGCATCAAAGAAAAATGGCTTCTTGTGCACTCCAGAGTAAAGGGCGGACCTTTCATCCGGGACCGGGGAATTCTCAAACACCTGTTCGTCACCGCCTGGAGGGAATGAACACAGACAGGGTCACCGTCTCCCATAATCATACCTCGGCATTCTCTTGTGGAGACTCTTGTGGAGTCCTCTTTAGGCCCCCATGACCCTGCAAAAAAAAAATAAGCTAGTCCACACAGCAACCACAGTGATCCCCCTCCCAACAATCACAAACTTTCCACAAACGCAGCTCCCGCTTAAATAAATGCATATAAAAAAGGAAATAATCAAAGTGAGCAAATGTATGGGTTCGCACAAGCTTAATGTTTTGGAAGTATTTTCTCCTTCTCTCAGTATCTCTGCAGACCAAACACCTTAACAGACCTATTAAAAATGCCATTTGGAAATTCTAAGTGCCATAATTAGCACAACATTCCTTAGCATTTAATAATCATAACCCTTTCCAGTTTGTAACTGCAATCCTCAGAAGCAAAGAATCAGAATCGTTCTCCCTCCTGAAAGGCCCTCCTGTTGAGTCTTGCTGGCTTTTTATGGTAGAAGTGTGATGAATGCTTTGTGGCTGACAGTGATTTTTTTATGGGTACAGATGCCATTTAAGTAATTAAATCACCAAGGGAAGAGTTCGGGTGCAGAAACGCCATAAAGGGTCGTAGCTTGCAAATGCAATTGACAAATGGTTCCCACTTGACGAGCCAAACACAAAAAGTGAGGGAACTGGGTGATCCAAGCCAGACATTCCCATCAACGCAGGCCCTGCTCCGAAGCAAGGGCATTTAAGGGCCTGGACACGCAGGCGGCCCCATGGAGTGTTCCACTTCATCTCAAGGATTCCAGCTCTTGAAGCCTTCACTCGAGCCAGGTATTCAGCCAAGCCTTCCAGAGCCCAGTGGAAAGGTTTGGACTTGCTGGCAGGAAAATTGAGTTCTTTTCTGTGTGTGTTATGTGAACAGATGTGAGAAAAGAAGTAGGTCAAACTCTGGGTGTAGTGATCCTAACTGGCTGTGTCCCTTTAATTATAAGGAAACTTTTGAGCCCTGCAGCTTTCGCCAGCTGAATTGTGAAGAGGAAAAAATTTAAAGTTCCTTGGAACAGAGGGATGGCACTAAATATACCAGCTGGGATGAGGGTGCCAGTGTGTGGTTAAATGTCAGAGATAAAGGGAGACGCCAGCTTGCTCGGGATGGGGGAAAGATGAGTGATTGCTAGCAGGCCTTTAAAATTTCAAGTTTCTGCCTTTTCCAACTGATGGGAATTAAAGTTACAAATAGAAAGAAAGAAAGAACTGCTGCTATTAAATACCCAAGATTGATGTCAAGGAGATGGTGGTGAGGAAGGCGATTCAAAACTACATTCAGTTCAAAGTTCTTATCTGCAGCACAAGCGTATTCACTCACAAATTATTCCTGGGTTTTTAGGGGGGTTTAAAAGCAGAGTCTCTGGTTCTGATGGATGTTGGCCAGACCAGAAGCAGTGTGTGACTATCACTAACATTTCCTGTTCCTTCCTCAGGACCCTGACTAAAATGGAATGGAGACCAAGCGTTCTTATATTGTTGGAAGTACAAATGGCAGCCTCTTCTGGATACAGTCTACCTTCCACTTCTGGGATGAAGTGATGGGGCCGAGAAAAGACACACAGCCTGGTGGCAGAGGCAGCCTGATAGCGGACTTCTCTATGAAACTAGTCCAATCACAGATCATGGCTTCACAATGAGCCCAGGTGTCCAGGGAGTTGTACAAAAGCCCTCATCTACCCCTAGTCTTAAGGGGCTGTGAGGAAGTTAAGAACCTGTCACTCAGCAGTGGTCTGGAAATTTTCTGGACTCTGTATTGGGGATTGTCATCAGAAATTCCAATACTTCCGTGTCACAAGTGAGTCTGGAACCAGCTGGTTCACATATGCCCATGACATATGTAGCTCTACTTCCTGCTTCTGGCGAGTCAGCATCTGGTACAGTTTGGAGGGGAAAATGGCAAATGCTTCTGGAGAGGTACCTTAGCCTGTGCTCAGGGCAGCCCTCAGATGGTACAGGCTCTCCTTGTCTGTGCCTGACGCGAGGCCCAAAATCCCAGCCTGGACTTGATCCTTTGGGTTTAGAGCATGACTTCCCCACTCGTCCTGACTTGGAAGTACAACTGTCCTACTGTCCCATTGGGAGAATGACAATCGAGATGCACTTTTCCCGTCATCATCTGGTCGTCATTTGGGGTATGATTTCCTTCACATAACTGACCTTTATCTATCTTGCTCAGCTGAGATCCGAATATGGAAGGAAAGGTGATTTTGACAGGAGGAAGGAGGTGGGATATGGGATGACTTAATGCCAAGAACACAGATTTATGCCCTAGATTCCAGCCTGGCTCTGCCACTCACCATCTCCAGGACCCTGGGCAATTGCTTTATCTCTCTAAATCTCTGTTGCCTTACCTGTAATAATGCCTACCTATCTTAGTAATATCTATTACAAAGCTATTAAGAGGATAAAATTAAATGAAGAGCGAGATGTGAAAAGTGTTTTATAAGCTGAAAAGCACTGTGCAAAAGCTAATGAATCATTAGCAGGTAACAGATGAATGGGAGTAATGAGGGAAGAGGATGGGTGGGTATCAGCTTCATAAAAATGGGCGGCTACAGGGCACTGATCTGGCCTACAATTTCATATTGTCTAGACTCATCCATGCCCCAGATAAAGACTTGAAACTTGAGTGACAGATTGTCATTCTCCTGGCTTTTCCAAGACTCCAGAGCTAGGGGGTGAGAGATGGGGTGGGAGCAGAGTGGAGACCCAGGATGTAGCAGAGTCACACTGCTCAGGCTTAACTCTGGGTCTCCAGCCACCTGGCTCGCTGACTATGAGGAAATTACTTCACCTCTTGGTGTCTGTTTTAGTTTCCTCATTTTTTTTTTAATAGTTTCCTCATTTGTGACCCAAGGATAGTACTAGTGCCTGCCTCTGGTGGCTATTCTGAGGATGACATATTAAAAGGAACATAAAATCTGAAGTGTTGAGGAAAGTGGCTGGCACACAGAAAGTTCTCAATAAATGTTCATTATTATTCAGACAACTTTGTACCGGCACAGGCATGCAAGAGGTCAAAAGGATCAACTCTTCCAAGGTCCTAGGGCAGGAGGAGGGGTTATTCTGAGTATGAATCTTTCCAGCTTTGCAGAAGCAGGTACCAAGGGGGCCTTTTCCAGTACTAACATCAGTTCTCTTGCTGATTAAAACCACAGAGGTCTACTATGCAAGGGCTGGAGGAGCTCCAGTTGAGCAGGGTGTTGGGGGCAGCCACGAGCCTCACACATCCTGGGCCTCCCCTGGCGACAGTAACAAGCCTGGACAATAGCACCCTAGCACTCCAGCTCCCCAGACACCAGAGGTGTAACTTGGGACTTGGACTCACTAAATCTATCTTCCATCTGTGACACCTAATTCATACCCAGATGAAGTTGGGAGATAAAAGTCCGCCCAGTTATTACTTTTTACCTTACAGCTACCTCTTTGAGCATATTTCCCCCTTTTCCCAACTATGTCTCTCAGAAGAGATTGCTGAATTGATTTATTCTGACATAAATACACAGATGAGGAACTTCTGTTTTTACAAATGTTCCTCTAGTGGAAAGGCTGCCCCAACACTCGACTATCATATATGAAGGGGCTACTGCACGGTGGGCCCAGTACCAGGTACTTCACGCGTCTGCCTCATTTATGGACAAGACCCAGCACTCTCTGCATAATACATGAGACTTAATTTTGGAAAGTGGCATGGGGTTTGTTCAAAAAGTAGGATGCTCCCAAGGTTGAATGACAGCAATTCCATATGGTTCTACTTAACATCACCAAATGACACTGTGTGTGATTTCAGGGAGAGCTTCCACAGTGAGGAGAAGTCAGGCTACGGTCTATACTGCGAAATCATGATGGACAGGCAGGTTTTAAAACAGCCAGATGTAAATCAGCATTGCGCCGAGAATTACCATGCAAAAGACACCCAAAGGAAACCCTGGAATTAAACACAACCCTAAGTTTATAAAATTGGCCATAAAGTAGATAGTCTCTCTCCTTCTCTCTGTCTCTCTTGTCTTTCCTTTCCCTTTTTATCTCCACTTTCCCATAGTAACCCCTTCACCTTCAATATTCCTCTAGGGGATTTAAGCTGATAAATAATTACATCAAATAAAATTTAAAATACATTAATAACAATAATAGGAAACCTTCATCTATGTAAATAAGGGGGAATTCAGTTCCCTCCAAGGTTTGATTTATGTACAACAAAAAAGCCTCTACACTGATATTTTTAAATCTACATGTTAAAACTTTTAAAACTGCTCACCATGTAGATGTGACATTTTAACAAGTAACGTGCTTTTTTGGGGGGTGGGGGGAGACATATTCTTTCCAGTATTTCTTTCAATTCACTTTTATTTTCCAAACAGGAAGTCTTACTCTTTTATTGCATCCTTTTGGGACAATTTTATAAGATGGTGCGAATGCACTTTACTAACAATAAGAAGGATGAACACGGTTGAGATTTAATCTGTCATAATTACACTTCAAAGGTTAACTATTCACTACAATAAATCCAAGATCAGGCCCCTTTTGACATTATTGCTTCATCTGACAAGTGGCTTAGCCAGTGAGCTAGCTCTTAAAGATCCACTTAGAATGGGAGGTCCTTATAGCCTCATTGGAGTTGAGACTTGACACTCTTTACAGAAAGAACAAATCATCTCTCAGAGATTCGAAAGGACGTTAGTGCCTCGGTTGTTAGATGTTTGTTCGAGGTGGAGGCATATCAAATTTGAACTAAATTCACTGGGTGAGAACCACAGTCCTTTTGAAAGCAGAAGCTTACATAATATGTTATAAAATAAAGTTTACATGAAATGGTATAAGGACCAAATTAAAGCTGTACCACATCTGGAGAAGATCCTACTGTCACACATTAGCCATTTCCCATCTTTGTAATATTTAAATAACCAAGCCCCTGGAATGCTGGACGCAAGGATCCTTCATTCCAGAAGGCTCTGAGCATTGCCCTGCTCACATGCAGACCCAGGTTCTCCCTCTGCCTGCCTCAGCCAGAACTCAACCCATCTTCCACTTGAAATAATATTATCTTTTTTAAAAAATATTTTATTTATTTATTTTGTGGGGGGTAATGAGGTCCATTTATTTATTTTTAGAGGCGGTACTGGGGATTGAGCCCAGGACCTTGCGCATGCTAAGCATGTACTCTACCACTTGAGCTATACCCTCCCCCCCAAATCCTATTTTCTACCGAAAGGCAGACCCCAAATGATTTACTCTGGAATAACCAGGGTGGAGTTTGCTTTTTTACCTTCAGTGCTGGGCTTTTTCATTTCTTCCACCCTGATTAGTTTCTTTCTCACTCTGCGAGTGGAGTTCACCAGCTTGTGTAACCTCTTAAACTTCACCGACTCCTCGGTCTCATCATCCGATTGTTCTCTCGACTGGCAAAGAAACAAAGGAAACGTTAATCAGGTAGTTGTCGGGTGCAGCTCAGCCTCACTGCCAGCCTGAACTCTGGCAGTTCTGCAGCTGAACGTAAGGCACCAACAAAGGTGCCCAACAGGTTCATGGGGCTCCACGTACCATCATCTCAAGGTCTAATCCGCTGGAGGATTAGGTCCTAGGCACCACAGCACACACCGATGCCCTGGCCTGGTGTGTGGGGCATTGGTCTCAATGACTTCCCGGTCCTCTTTGAGAGAGCTCCGGCAGGACGCTCTCCTAGGCTGCCCCTGTAATTCTAGTTACACTGCTGTGGTTTGGGCCAGGCTCTCAACTGTCTGGCCCGTTAGGGCTTTCTGTTTAACGTGGTCATCGACTGCTTCTCCAAACCCAAATTCTGTTGACTTGTTCCAGTCCTCCCCGAAAATCAAAAACAGCAGGGCATGAGAAGGGAAGAGATGCAAAAAGCCGCCTTCGGTCCCATTTGTGAGGACAGTCTGCCACATCTCAGCCATCCCTCCCCTTCCGCCTCTCCCAGCTCTTTCCGAGAGCTTCCAAGGCGAGCCCAGGGACAGAGTCTGCATTCCTCCACGAGGGGCAAGGGAAAAAGCTGACCTTTTCAGCCATACAGTGCAGTCCATATTCCCCAGCATCCCATCTCGTTCTGCAGTGATTCAAGCATGCTCAGCCCAGCTGTTTTCCCTCAAGTATCAAACATTACAGAGAGAGAGGGGAAAAAAAGTCTCTCGGCAGCAGTGACCCAAGCGAAAAACAATCCTTTCCTTGTGAACAAAATGAGGGCTTCGCTTCCAAGACAGCTCGGACATTCAACATGCAGCTTCCTCTGTTTTATCTGTCAAAATGTGAAGAAACCACAAGGAGTCTGGTCCTCAGTGGCCGTGCTGCACGGGCCGGGCGCTCAGGAATCTCCGGGAGCGCGGAGCCCGGCGGAAGTGCGCAGCCTCGGCACAGCCCAGGCGGCCCGGAGCGGCTCCAGCTAATCCCGCACATCCTGCCAACAGCCTTCTCTCCATTTCCTCAAGCCTAGTTCACGGACAGAGTGGGGAGGAAAATGCCTCAAACCCAAAAGCAAAACAAAAACAAACCACGTCTCTGAACACGCGTCTCACAGGGAGACCTTCCCCCCTGCCCATCACACAAGAAATGCTCTCATTAATCTCAATTTTATAGACAATAAAATAGGTAGCTAGAGTTAGCAGAGAACAGTTTCAAGAGGAAACGAGGTAGAGATTATATTAATTACTTAGGCATAAAAATGGTGCATGCTGTGCATCCACAAATATTTCTGTAGCACCATGCCTATACCTAAAGGATATACAACCCATTTCCCAGCCTCTGTCCTCACCGTGGAGTTCCCAGTATGGAGCCATTGTACTTTCTCCCTGCAAGACCATAAGCAAACCATTCACTCGCTAAGGAATAATTATTACTCCTCATAAACGGCAAGGCATCTGGACAGGGGTATCTCTCAGGCTTCCCTTCTGTGAGGTGTATCAATATCAGTGTCTAATTTCTCTAAAATACCTAAGTAAAATGTTGCATGCACACTTCAGAATTAAAGTTAACTGCTGGCTACCTGGTAATGAAGAATAGAAATTGGACCCCCAGAGAGCAGGGGAAGGAGGCTTGCACGCTGGCTATCAGGCTTAATGCATTTGGTCTAAAACTTAGAATGTAAAAACTTAAAATAAAGTAGTAAGTACAGCTTCTATCACACAATGGCATTGTCTGCTTTGGATTTCCCTTTTACTTGGGCGAATTGCTGGTGTGTGATAGAATGATCGGAGTGGTCAACCAGAGGAATGAGAGCTTGGTTAGCGCCCACTCTGGGTAATCAGCACCTGAACAAAACCACAGTGCATGGAATGACACATAAACACTGAAAAACATTCTGCCTTCTTGATATATCTCAAAAGCCAAGTACTTCTAATAGAAGAATCAACATTAGATTACAGAATGTTTCTGCACCCACCAATGACACAGATCTAGAATATGTCTATAACCCTCATGTTAGAAAGTTCTGAAGTCAAGTGAAAATGTAACAAACACAGGTTGTTCATAATCGAGATTCAGGATTCAGAAAGCTACATCATAGGATAAAAATCACCCGTACCTAGCTTGGAGGGTTGCTGCTGCTGCTGCTGCTGCTGGTGCTGCTGTGTGTGTGTGCGTGTGTGTGTGTGTGTGCGGGATGAGGAGAAGTAAAAAGAGAAATGGGATACAGAATGGAGTAATACAGAAATCCTGAGTCCACAAAAACACAAATCATTTTTAGGAAACATACCATCAGAAAGAACTTTTCAGGGAGAAATCAAAATGGTTAAACTAGGACAACAGATTTAAAGGCAATGACCCCACCCCCACCCCGTGCCCCCACCAGTCCTACTTTCGTCTGCCCAGATTTACTGTGATCAAAAATAACATATTCCAGGTACTTATTTAATTGCTTTCATATGCTCCATCTATTTTTAGGAAACAAGGACTCTAATTTAGAGTTTTGAATTAATATTATTCTTATGTATCTCTAAAAAAATGTAAAGTTTGGAGGTGTTTGCCACTGACAAATCACAGATCATAGCACTCAATTACTTTCTTTGCATTATCATGTTTTTGGACACTAGATGAAATAGATGCAGCACAATTAATATGAAAAAAAATAGGATAAAACCAAAGTCATTCAAGATATATATATGGTATTATCATTATAATCATCATCATCATCATCGTTATTTTAAAAGTAGAAAATCTCCTCTTAAGTGAGCCTACAAGTCACTGAGTTGAACAGTCTCCCAAGGATGCTTTTTATTGAGAGGTGTTGACTTCTCACTTCCTCCTGTGTCCAGAGGAAAAAGAGTTGTGAAATATTTGCCTTTAAAAAATCCTCTCCAGCTGTTTCAACATAAAGACTCTGTAAACAGCATTCATTTTTCTTATAAACTGAGGAGTAAACCTTAAATTCCTCATTTCATGTTTCTCCTTTTAAATAAGCATGCCACTTCCCAAATGCTGAAAAAAAAAACTTGTCTTTTTATTCAGAAAATACACCCCTAGAGGTGTATGTATGAGATGGAGGTGTGAGAAATTTTATTTAACTTTTTTAAAATTAAAAAATGTATAGAGGAAATCTCCCCTCCCAGGGGAACTCTGTAGAAGATGAAGGACACATCTGCAATGCATATAATATGAATGATGCCAAGAAATAGACTCAGAGCTATTATAAAACAGGTTTTAATTAAAGTGAAAAAATAACATAAATATGTATAAACATATATACACATTCAAACCCAAGATGGCATCTCCTCCTCTCCCTGTCCTGGCCCAGGCCAGAGTGCTAAAATAAACTTAAATTTGACCACCTTCTAAATTAGAAGGTGAAAACTCAGGCATCTGTATAACCACCCCCCACCTCTAAACCTTTAGTAGAAAAAGTCAATTAATTTATCCTACCAAGGGATGTGGAAAAGTGGATTTACAATATTGTAAATAGAAACATTTGACTTCCAGCCTCTGTACTGTGGATTTTTCCACCAGAAAGCCCATATGGCTCAACTTTTAATTACTTTGGCTAATGCTATATGTAGTAATTCTGTGGTGAATGCTTAAGTGTTTCATTTCTGGTTTCCATGGCAACATTACATCAGATTGCAGACAGCTGGCTCCACAGTTTTAAACCGTAACAAATTGACCAAGCCAAGGCACAAAACTATAGCTGCTTTAAAGAGAGAGTACACCATTCTCCTGCCAGGGTGCTGAATGAGGAACCTATGGGGCCCGTTTGGCTTTCAGCGGAGGGTGGAGCCTCCTTCCTTCTCAGCTTCTTTCGGAACATGTGCGTCCTTGACACATCTGCAATGTTCTAATGGGAAAGACACGGAGCCAGCGTGGAGAACTTTTTATAACACAGCTACATTAAGGGTGATCAGAAAAAAGGAACACAATGAACAGCATCTGTAGATACAAAAATGTGTGGGCTTGAGCAAACGAAAATATCCCCTTAACTGTTCAACTGAAGCCCATCCCTGCAAGTCGGTAACAGATGCTTCACGTGCCGCTGACCTTGTAACAAACAGTTCTTGTGAACGATGATGTGCTAGAGCAAATGCTTTCCAAAAGCTGCGTGGCACAGTCGTGCAGGCACAGGAGTAACGTGCTGTAATAAAGATTGAATTGAACTTGCAAGGAGCAACTAGAACCCTTCGGGGACTGCTGGAGACCTTACTGAGCACAGGATTACAACTGTGCCTTTTGCAGAAACACGTCCACTCAGCTTGCTTCCCCAGCTCCTAACACTCAGCACACTGTCCCAGTTAACAGCCAGACCAAGTCACCCTACATCCCCCGGAGCCATGCACATAACACTGTATTTAAGCCTCTCTGAAAAGTATTCTGAAACTGGCAATAGATTCGCCTGTGAAATTCACGCAATGTTAATGGCACGAACCTTCAAGTTAGGAGGAGGAAACCGATCGGTTGTAGGTTTATGAAAAGCCGCACATCGCTGCCTGAAGTCAAGTCTTCTGCACTAAAAGCCTCCACCAGTGGCAACTCAGCTCCAACCCACGTACACGCAATCCCTCGCGTGCCCGCTTTATTCTCCAAATAATATCCACTCTCCTCCAAAAGCTGTGTCTTAGTATTGAGTGAGCAAGCTAGGAAAGAATGCTCCGAGTTACAAGGTAGGGGAGTAAACAAGGAAAGAAGGATGAATCTAGAGGAATTGGAATAGAAAAGAGGGAAGTATCCCAGCCAAGAGCAATGAAAAAGCTTTTCCTCAAAGTGACAGAAAGCACATTTCCCCTGCATGTTACACTTATCGGGCGAACTTGGAACTTACCGGCTTCGGCATTTAGCAGGCCTCGGGGGTAATCGTGAGCACAGCCGGTAGTACCCCCGCCCCCTCCCCACTCTGAGAGCGTCTTCACTCTTGCTCCGTCACCTCTGGAATCTCAAAGGGAGGGTGAGGCACTCCTCAAACGTG